TCGAACTGTGCGGCACATCGGGCGGCTTCCGCCAAAGCAGACCTTGGTGTCGTGGCATCGCTGCCGCACAATGCGTCGCAAACCAACATGAACCGAGAACACCTTGGACCTTAGGGAACCTAAAGCCCATGCGGCATCATGCGGCGACATCCCGCTAATAGGCAATTGTATATATAAGTTCAAGAAATCGAAATGCTGGACATGTGCTGAACATGCTTGGAGTCGGACTGGCGCTCAGCATCACTCACACTGGTGTCCAACAGCTTCCGGAGCGCATTTCCAGCAGCAGTGGGCTCCGAAGGAGTCGTCAGCTCCTGCTGCCCAATCATGCTCACTGTCACTATCGGACCGAAGCCACCACTTCACCAAGGAAGGACACAAACCAAAAAACATCTTTCCACGATTGATGGGATAAGGTTCCTAAATCGTTGCTTCAGCAACGGGCCACATCTCCTGAGAGATTGACTCCAGCTCTTTGGCCAACTCCTGCCTGCAAAGAACTCCGACATCTCTGAAATTGCTGAAAGACTGATACCAAACATCTTTAGCTCCAACTCTGAGAAAGATGCCAAAGATCCACCAGCTCTTGCCATGCCGGGCCTAAACATCACCAAAAAAACTAAGTCAGAAACAAAAATCAACGTCCGCATTGACTTCCCAAATGCATTTCATAGCCCCGAGGCTACTGACGCATCTCCAGCATATTGGGCGTTGCATCTGGGGCACCTGTCACACTGACATGGAATGAGGGACGGCACATGACACGGGTTTTAGGTTCTTTCTCGTGTCAGTGTGAGTATCAGTCACCATGGTTTGGGAGCAAGTCAGAGCTGTATATTTTAGGATTTGCTGTATTAAAAACAATTAACAACTTTACCGTCTGCCCGCGGCCTGTTGCTTCAACTTTGGAACGGCAGGAGGCCAAACCTTGAAACATCTGCACATCAACAAGCATACAGTTTCCTGAACGAAGCCGGCTAAGCATCCTGGCCCTCTGTGAGATCGGCCTGCAACTTCTGCACCTGAAGCAAAGGGCTGTCAGACCATCTAAACTACGTCATTGAGTCATAAGCAATTGAAACGTGTTCTGCTAATTCTATCTTTCTCGGATGCTACTCCACACTTGAGACCATCTTCGACCATAATTGCCGAATAATTGCTCGTGTTATATATAAGCAAAGACAGAACACAAATGCAATGCAGGAAGGGGCGTGAGCAACTCCTTGGTATGGCGTTTCGTTTCCACATAGGGCTTTGAACCTCCACGACCTCGCACCAAAAGGCGACCTGCTGTGGGGCCATGAACTGTGAACCGCACTGCCGCGGCGTTCCTGGCACGGCGAACATCGGCAGAGCTGCCATCATCGTCTTTGTGGCCTCATGCTTGCTGAACGACAGCGTCAGCGACGCTTTCCACATTTACCCAATCTATGACGCTTTCCGCACTGGTTGTTCTTCGGCATTCTGAGTGCATGGCTGCTGGTCAGCCGGCCAAGCTCATGCTCGAAGGCCACAGCACGCCGCGCCGCGACGGTGAGCTCATGGGCTAAGAGGGCACCGGAGGCCTCGGGAGGTCAAAACCAGTCCTCCCAGGTGGACCACATCATGGAATGTTCATTCGGAAAGGGGTCAATTAGGGATGTCAGGGTGTTGTGACCCATAGCCACATGGCTACTCTGAACCATAAAAGAACTATAGTTCCTTGGTGGGGACCGCCAGTGAAAGTTCTGCAATCTCTTGCTTAAACTGGGCATGTTCTGTTCTATCGGTGAGCTACTTTTGCCTTTTCTGAACTTGCATACATCATTGATTCAAAGGGGGGTCGCACATGCCTTCCACCGAGGGGCCAGCACTTACTTGGCTTTCATATGAAAGATATATCTCAGATTCTCGCACCGCAGGCACAGGCACAGACAATCCATTCATTCATATCATGCTATCTCTGGTCGCAATACTGATGCTCTTGGCGGTCCCTATTGTAGATCATAAAGACCCTCTTCTTCGCAGTCCAAGTGTGATGTTACATATGATGTAAGGGGTAGCAGCAGGAACCCATGTTTGTTCATGAAACTTCATCAACACACTCTTGTTCTCAGTATTCTCAGTAGGGTTGTGTAGGCCAGACTCCTTCTGCGAAGGAAACTCCGGTTTCAATGCCCCACTGCCTCCTGACCCCTCGTCCCCAGGCGGTGCCTCCTCAGCACTGCAAGCCTTTGCCTCTGCGGCGGCCTCTTCTCTTGCCTGTTGCCAAGCTCATCCAGTGGAAGTCAAAAGCAACATGTGATCAGCTTCAATTATCATGCTAAGGCGAAGTGGATTGGTGAACGGAGGTTCCGGAAAGCCGGAACCACCAGTGAATACCAATGAAGCAAAACATTGAAATCACCAATCTAAACCAACTACCGTAATTGTACCAACCAACCTCAGGGTGAGATGCGTTTCAAGGCAAAGCAAAACAGATCCAAAATGGCTCTGCTGGCAGAAAATGCAACTGCTTCAAGTTACTACTACTGCAAAGGATCACGAGGATTAAGCAGTGACGTAGTGACGTTGTCACGTAGAAAGGGACGGATGCCCCATCTCGATTCCATGCTTCTGCTTAGGCAGCGTGAGTCGTGAGCGTGTGCCAGATGTCTGCACAGTGGATGCTGGATTACTGTATCTGGATTATGTATCTTGACTGGACTGGCTCCACAAATTTTGAGACTTCTCAGCTGCCCCGTCCTCTGCCAAGTCTGCCTGTAGGTTTCCCCAAATCTTCCGCAGGTCCTCCCATCAGCCATGTTCAGTCATTTTGCATACTTCTGCGTTAGAGCAGGCCTACCGGTCGATGTTCATCTTTCTGATTTTTTCGCTACTAGTAACAAGAAGCTACAGTACTAGTAACAAAGGGCATCGCTACTGGGAGTAAGGACGCTACTAGGGGCTCCTGGCCTTACTACTAGCAACATCTAGTAACAATGTTTGCTATTAGTGTCCGTTGTTCACCATCGTGCACAACTCAGCTCCTGCCAGGCTTCGCTTTGCCCCTCTTCCTGCGCAGCGGCCGCCTAGCTGGCAAGGCAATCCTGAATGTGCCCTGATGCCTCAAGGGGGTTGCCTTCTACCTATGTGTTCTGATCATGGCATGATCCAGCTGATCCTGAACTTCAACAATGCAGGCAACCTCTAATTAAATGTCAAAGGACTGGAGAACTGTTCGGTCTTTTTAGGTTGCCTAGAATCCCCAACATTACATCTCATCAAGAATAGTAAAATATAGTAAACACGAGTCGCACGGAGTCGCCTGTCTGTGCTCATCATGAGTGAGAGAAAAGCATATCCCGTCAGCGCCATCCGTCTAGAAGCATCGCTACTAGCAACAAGGGCATTCCCGTGTGTTTCATCCTTGCGATCTGCTGTCGCCCGGCCTCGCAGGCGGCTACGGCCTCGGCACTCTCGGCCGCCAGGGCCTTCAAGGCCTCGCCATGGAGCAAGGCATTGCCTGGCGTCAATGGTCATCGGTCTGATGCGAAAGAAGTCATGCGAATGCAGTGCAATGCAGGGCCATGCCAAAAAAATACTATACCGCAAAGACAGCGAAGGCCGGGCATATTGACAAAGAAACCTTTCTTCTGAAATGGAAGGCTTTCTGCTGTCCGTTCCATGCAATGTGGATCACACTGAGAAACTTGTTTCAACAAGCTGGTTCCCTTTCAGTAAACACCCTCAAACCGAGGAAAAGATCAGCCACCACATATCATCTTGAGGGGGTGAAGAATGGGGCAGTATTCTCACATGTTTTGTCGCTCAAAACGAGTGGCCTAGAGCTCGTGGACCCTTGTGCTCCCTGTCCCGGGACATCGCCTCAGCGATAAGTGGACCTACAAGTGCTCGCAAACTGGCTAGAAGGAGAACTTGGGCGGGGTAACAGCCGGCAACAATCGGTAACAGTCGCCACACCCACATGATGTGATCCTCTCAAGCGATCCAGAAGGAGCATCGAATCTAGACTTTCCTCCAAGTGGTCCTGCTCTTCTTCTTTTTCTCGGTGCCGCACTGCACGCTGCTTCGCAAGTTCCTGCATATTTCATGATAGAGCAATCTGGAAGGACCCGTGGACATCCCAATGAATGAACATGAAATGAGGGCGGGACCTCTTACCTGCATTCACAACACAAGCCATGCACAAATTTGAGTGTGAAGGAACGTTGCCAGCAATCAGCACCTGGCTACAGTAAGTGCATGGGGCACCATTTGCGACCCGGCCCATTCGTGCTAATATGGCTCTGGAATGTGGCCCTCTCCTCGTCAAAGACCGCGATTCGCCGGGCAGCCTGGATTCAAAGGTCACGAGAAAGCGACTGCGAGTAGAGGCATCAAATGCAAGAGCACATGAGCATGATGCGAGTGCTATGCGTCTTCTCGACTCATGGGCGCAATGTAGCATACGGTCTATTATGAATTGGGGTCAGCACTCTTGAGCTGCCTCATGTACTGTTGCTGTTCTAGGGTGATTCTTTTGATTAGATTTGATGATCATACCTATCATACCTCCTCAACTCTTGGCAAAGCACACCTTTTCAATGTGACGCTTTGTCACCAGAGTGTCCACAGCGGGCAAGAAGGCTGTGTCTTCCCGGATGCTGAATGCCCCACGAGTGAGAGACTATTTCAACTGGCCCTGCTGAATAAGGACTGGCACAAACGGGCGTGGAATCAAACACACTGCTTCGTCTTGGCAATGTAATGTCACTATGTGCTATTCTAGCTGATTCAATATGTTGCAGTACTTGGTGTTGTATATGTGGTTGCCTATTCAAACAAAATCAGATGAGGTTCATGAAGACTGTCGTCGCAACTTGGCCAGTACAAAAGGATCGCCTTCAGCAAGGCTTTTCTGTGAAGTTGGCCTTGGCCAGAACTGGTTGTTTCCTGATGGCTTTGATCTTTCAGGTGTGGCTGTTGACGGTCTTTGCCGAATCATAAGCCATCAGTGAAACTGGTGATGGCAGTGCCTGTCACGTCGAGCTCTGAGAAAATCGTTGACCCAAACCAGTGTCAGATCCCAGATCGGTTAGGATCTGAGTTAGAAACTTCTGAGTCACATTCGTGAAGTTCGTCGCATGACTGCGGAAGGTCATGAACTTCTGATGTGCTTCTTCAGAGCCGCTGCTTAACTGATTGTCCTGATCAAAAAAAATCTTGTCGAAGTCCTTTTCCAACATCTCGTGAAGGCAATCCGTCTTTTCTTCAAGATTCTTCTGCAGGTATTCAAAGAGCGGCTTCTCCTGCCACAAGACAAAGCTGTGCAAGCACCCAAAAGAACATCCACCACCAACATGATTCTGCAATCAATTGTTCATCTTGGTCTCCAATATCACCGGGTCTAATTCTACAATGGGAGGGGGGTGTTTTCTGATGTATGCAGCTAGGGGGGACAGGTGTCTACAAGTACTTTCAACCAGGGTGTTGAACATAAGGAAAAGGGAGGTATCATGAGGTATCAAGTATCAATACAACATGTATCATGATATACATGGTTCTTGGGGCATCAAGAAGCTACTTGTAGCTAGAAGCTATTAGGTTGGAGGCCATCGCAAGTAGTTTGGCGGCTATCGCTACCTGTTTTCTTTTGTCAAGACCCGAATTGTGTTTGGATCGAACCACTCTCTGGGCCCCCATGAAATCTGGAGACGAGGAAATGTTTCCTTTTAGGGGGTACAACACCCCAAATATACATTTATGATCATTTATGTGACCCGGTGATGTCTCTAATTGTACTATTAAATGTAACTCGCTGCTACTCCATTCTGCGTGACAGAATCACAGCTGAGCAACATTAGAATCATCAAGGTAGTAGCCATAGACATACGTCCACTTGAGGACTCTCCGGCATGCTCGGACTTGCCGAAGTGCATCATAGAGGAACTGCAACTCAATAATTGCAAAACCATGCTCGTCGTGGAGTCTTTGTACCTTGCCCTCGATGTCCTGCGCAGGGGCAAGGCCAAAGAGGCAAGAAAGAGTGGGTGGCATAGCAGCTGGAACTGTAGCAGCAGTCTGCCTTGCTGGAAGCTCAGCGTCAAGTCATTGATTTGCCAAATTCTACTTTAGCAAATGACCCCATATCCCGTAGCACCAACATGCATTGCCGGGTCCCACCCGTCCTGCTCTTGGATCACAGTAAGCTTCATGCCCTTGTCATGGTCCATGAAGCGCTCAAAGTAAAACATGTAAATGTCAAGCGCATGCTTGGCTTCTTGTCTACTTCTTTCTTCTTCTGCATGCTTGCCCTGCTTGGACTGCTTGTCGTAAATGTTGCACTGGTAATACCTCAGTTTGCCACACATGCGGTCCAACTACTGTATGTCCAAATCCTGTAAGACATAGGGGCTCCGACCCAGTGGTGGAACTTGGATTCCTTTATCTTCAGAGCATGTGCACGGCAAGGCCTTCTTTGTCAAACTCAAGGGGTACCAAAGCAAACTGGAGGCCATTGCTATTAGGTTGGAGGCCATCGCTAGTAGGAACGGAGGGCAACAATCACCAGGACTTGGCCAAGAGTCCCGCCAGTTGAAGTCCCATGTGATGCCCAATCACCCAAGCAAAGCCAACAGAATTCGTGACCACAACCGCCGGCCTTCAAGAAGCTATCCGATCGATATCACAGTTCAGGTGGGATTTACTGACATGTCTGGTCACATGCTGGAGTTGTCTCTGCTTAGGGATCTTAGGGGCCTCAGTAGAGGCAAGAGTTACTCCTGGCAAACAATGGCCTCTAGCTGTGCCAACATTCTCATCACTCCACTTTCCGACTCGCTCAGATCTAAACTCAGTGCGTCTCACTAGGCTAGGCAAACGGCTCGCTGAGCAAACCCCACCATGCCTTTGAGCAAACCATGTGGTTGCAGCCCTGGTTCTTTTCGATTGGCTTGTGACCTCATGCAGAACAGGAACCCGGGGTTGTCCAATGGCCCAAACAAACACAACTTATATAGATTGTGCCAGCCACCCTTGCAGTGTTTGCAACCCTGCTGAGAGCAGAACACTTGGGGCACTTCTTTGTGTGAGCTCGGATCCAGCTGATGTTCTCTGATTCCGCGCTATTCTTCACATTCCACTGGTTGACAGTTTTGCAACTAGCGGGCATGTGAGCTTCTTCACCGCAAGCCCAGCACCAAACAAAGGTGCACTGGCAATGAATTTCCAGACTCTCCTTCGCATCCATCCAGCAAGCGATGCAAGGGAAAACGATAATTACTCTTGGTGTGTTTCGCCTCCGAACTACCCGCAGACTTACATACTTACGCATTCTGGCAACTGCAAAACATCAAAGCAAACAAGCCGAGTTTCGACGCCCTGATATTCACAGGCAAACTGACAACCCACTGGATTAGGGCACCACTTTACGGACGCATTTTCATCCACATAGGTCCGCAGGCACCAGTCCTGATTCGGGGCATGCACCACCGAGCATGTTGGCTGTACTGCATCTCATTTGACACCAAAAACTGTCGGTCTGTACATCTGTGGCCAGCTTTCAGTGTTGTTTAGCTTACTTTCTCATCTCAGCACGGTCATGACCAAGCTAAGCACTGTAGCACCACCACACAAACTGCCTGTCCTGATACTTCTTCTGCCTCTCTACATCGCAAAAGCGAGAGAAGAAAGCAGTCGGCACTACCATGGGGCACTTGTGCTGAGGACAGCCTTGGCCAAGCGCCGCTTGCACAGATCTTGCAATTGTCTCCTGGTGCCTTTCGAACTTTTAGAAAGCCGGCTACAACATCCTGAACCTGCAAACACCAGACAAGAAGCGAGTCTGCACCGCCGACTTGCCATCATCTACCTGTGTATGTAGATAGCCCCTCCAGCACTCTTCACCTGCCCACAGCTTTTGCTTCCGAGGAAACTGAGTGACTGCCCTGACTGACACGATCGATGCTCTGGCCAAGGTCCCCGCAAAAGCCATGACTGCAGTCCAAGGCCACCAAATCATCGATGGCGGACATGCAAATCGAACATACCTTGGGGCCTCAACAGAGTTTGCACGTGAAAAAAAGGTGCTTGTGTTGAAGACAGGTCAATGTGTGTCACGCAACGCTCTTTGTGCGGCATTCCACTAGGTTACTTCTTTCCTTGTTCCTAGTATATAGCTTTTTGTTACTGGTAGTAAGGCCAGGAGCCCCTAGTAGCATCCTTGCTCCTAGTAGCGATGCCAGGACCCTTGCTGCTAAGATGATTGGACCCGACAGGCCTGCCAGATTGGAAGATGGAGCAGGTGACGTGCACTTTGCGGTGCTGAGACCGCATCGATTCCGCACCTTCTGGTCATTGTCAAACCATGCCTCCTGAAGAAAGAAATCGAAGTCCAAAATATGAACTTTCAATATCTTGATGTACTGTAATTACTTGACAAAATGTCAATATAATGTAATGTATACTCAACGTCTCACCCTCACCCTCACCCTCTCTCTCTCTCTCTCTCTCGCTGCTCAATCCCAACAGTCTTGGGAATAGCTTTCTGGACATTAAAGCTATGCCTCAATCACGTCCAACATCTCCCGCTTGATACCTGCGCTCCTGTAATCGAAGCAAGTCCCATCCGTGCTGCCGTAGCAACACAAAGCCCTCTTCGTGCGTCACTTGGAGCAGGTCAGAGGCCTACCACGGAAAATCACAAAGGCTCCGCCTCAATCTTTCTATATTACGCTCTTCCGAATGCCTGTTAACTGGCATCATGCGGTGATCCAATTCTTCTGACATGTTGTTGGTACTGATGTATGATGTACGTGTGTATATATGTATGATTCCCACGTTTGCTCCATGCCCCTCTGCGCAAATCGATTGTTGCGGTGAGCTAACCCAAAGCAAGCATCCCAGCATCTGCGGCCATCCAACCTCACTAATGCATTTGTTCTGACGGTTTGCCAGATCTCCTGGCAGGATTTTGGGCGTATTCATTGATGCATTGTCTACACTGAAACCTGGGCGGTCTCACTCAATCCAAATACACGGTTAAAATTAAGCAATGTCCATGCAAATAGTGGGTTGATGAAGCCTTGCCTGCATTCATAATCGTGTAAGGAGCTTTCCGCACTTCTGGCGGCTCAATAACCATTTGGTCTTCATCTTCTTCACCACCTGATTTAAGCTCCACATCTTGATCCTCGTATTCAAATTCTTCCTTGGTTGAACGGGCGCACAATGCCAGGCAAACTCCATGATAGCCCTCCATTCACCTGCGTCACTTCTCTTTCTCCCTTAGCTGCTGCCAGGCCTCAGAATCACCTGCAATCGAGCCTCCGTCTGAGCCTCGGGAGTCGGATCTTTTGCTAATGTTCGAAGACTGGAGGAGGAGCAAGCACAGCCTGTGTTCCACCAGCCAAGGCTGCGGCCATCCATGGTCAGCAAATTTGCGACCAAGTAGGCCACCAGCAGCTTCAGCAGCTGTATCTACACCTGCTGCCTTCACCAAGTCAGCAGTGTGCACATGGATGTGCAGAGTGCCAAAGAGCACCGGGAAATGAGGAAATCAACTACAATCAACTACACATATCACATATGTATATAACTACACAGTCCTCGTGCGCGCGCGTCACGCACTCCAGCCTGCTGGGCCAATAATGTCTCAAGGACGGCGGACCGATTTGCGCCGCAGCGCGCTTTTTTGGCGGCCTCAAACATGCAAAAGGCTGTTGCCTCATTCAGCGTCTGCTTCACGCACTTCTTTGCAACACCGAGGCTCCTGCGCTCACCTACCACAAGGGCCCTATATACACTGATCTGCACTGATCGGCCCTTGAAAAGTTGAGCCAAAATTGCAAATCAAAAATGCGGAGCCATCTTCACGCAACTTCACGCACAATTCAACGCTGACATTCTATAAGTCACAAGTCACTTGGGGTTCGCGTTTGTTAGCTAGGAAGCTACACGGTCGCGATGAATTTTATAGTCCCATTCTTCCAGCTCGGTTCACACTCTGGTTCGCCCTCTGCGTCTTATCTCTTTTGGCTCTTTCTTTTATTCCAAAGCATCATTGTATAGTTATAAGAAACATTCATTCTTTCGTCCTTGTATCTCAATGATGTTGCAAATCCGGTGCCTCCTGGAGTGCCGCCTGGCGGGAGGCGCTATCATCCGCCTCACCAGGGCGCCTGAGCAGGTAGGAGATTGAGAAGGCTCGCTGGTTTATCTGAAAAAGAAGCATTGATTTATTCCCTTCGTCCAAACATAATGATCTGATTCAAAACATTCCAACACACAATATATATAACTCTTGGACCACGTCGGGCATCGTACGGTTTTAAGTATAAATTACATTTACACGCATCTCAGCTGGTTCTCGGAGCAATTGTTACCAAAAAACAAACATATAAACTTATCGTGTAGTTGAGAGTCGGATGTGCTTCATCTTCACACTACAAAGCGGCTTTAGATGCTGTTTCTTGTTGGCTGCATTTTCCCGCTGTACCATATAGAAACTTCTGAGAGGTGCTGACTTGAACCCAGGCCTGGAGCCTGTTGCCTCACCAGCCTGGAGAAAGACTCAGGATGAAGATCGCACATGATCCCGCTCTGTCGCTCTGTCTGCGTCCGTCTGTCCGTCTTTCTTTCTTTCTTTCGTTCCTTTCTTACCTTTTTTTGTTTTCCTTCGTTCTCTCTCTCTCTCTCTCTCATTTTTTAGTGTCCGGGGGTCGGAGGTCATGTACAGTTCATGGGGTTTGCCTGGACCCTGAAGGTGCAGGTTTCGGAGTTCACATTGTAAAGGCTATGCCGATGCTGTTTTTGGGATGGCCTCTGCAAGTCCCAGCGCAGCAACCAAGCTGCCTTACAGGGTCAATCACATCACATAGTTTAAATGTTTGAAGGTTTAAATTTTGAAATCGACTCACGTTGCGTCGAGGACAGGGCTGTTTGCGTCACTGGTGACCATCTTGGCAGACTCAGCTACTTCCTCAAAGTGGAATTACAAATCTCTTGGCCCCTTGGCTCAGTCGCAGAAACATTATCCGCAAACGTCCTTCTCAGCCTTCGCAATGTCTTTCCTCAGCGGAGCTCGCTTGTGGTGAGATGTAGTGAAATGTAATAAAAGTACAAGATTGTACCAATTATTTTTTTCATAATCAGCATTTTCAAACATCATGTATTTCAATGCCCATGTCTGGCACCGAATGCAGCACTCAAGGGCTCGCTCGGCTCACCGTGCCAAGCGTCTGCATCTGTGCCCACGCTGCACCCAGCTGTCCCCAGGCTTCAGACATGCCCTCGCCGGAGGAGGCCATGGCCTCAAGAGCGGCTAGAACTGCCACCACAGCACTCAAAGTTCAGTTCTGAACCTGCATTGGCTTGGGCGGCCCGTGCTTGGGAGGTGTGAAATAAAAAAAATCCGCCCGCACCGAAGGTGCTGAGGCGTTGTGTCGGCTCGGGTGAACTGGAAGATTGGCCGGGTACCACAGCTGAAACTTTGGCTTGGGGGGGCATTATCGGCTCTAGAACGCATGTGGTTGAAGCTCTTAAAAAACTGAAAAATTGACATCGTGCGTATGACTGTCCGTATGGTTTCGGAGCTACGCGTTAGCAATGTTGGCTAATGTTGGCTACGCAGCCCAAGGGAGACTGCATTATTGACATCATCATGGGTGTGTGCGTCCGTGTGTCCTACCCGACCGAGACAGACAGACACAAACACAGACACAGACACAGACACAGACAGAGACAGGGACAGACAGACCGACCGACCGAGACAGACCGACCGAGACAGACAGAGACAGACAAACGCACACTCTCCGTGCGGGCGGCGTCGAGCGCGAGGCGCTGTGAATACCTTTGTTTTGTGCACTAACATCCTCGTACAGTCATACATGTGCCAGCCTCACACTGTGCTTGCGCTTCTGCCTGAGCCAAGGCGACTTTGTACAAAACGTTTTCCGTTGATGTCAAAGTCTTTACTTTTCCGATTTCTTCGTGCCAAGCACTCTCACCGCTTGCCCTTGATTCATTAATTACATTTTACAGTCCTTTAGATCTATGACAGGAATTGTTTTGATGCGTAAAGCGTCAACATGATATAATATGCATCATCTCCCCAAACTGACAAAACCTTCAGGCCAGCCTGCTCCTTGGCAAGTTGGCTCAAGACTTCTTGATCGGCCATGGTCCGGCAGGCGTCTAGCGGGTCTACAGCCTCGCGTTGTCACTGTGCAACGCTCCCCAAAATATGGCACGAGACGCTAACTTCATCTACAGTGATCTATCTGGTGTTGACCTAATAATTCGGAGGAGTACTTGGGCAACCAATGGCATCAACCGCAAAGGTCAGCCTGATCAGGTCCTCCTTGCTTTTGCAATGCTTTTCTCCGCTTCTTCATCTGCCTCATATTGAACCCTATATATATAATACAGCCTTGCCATACTATAGGTAGTGTGTCGTAGAGCATGTTCGAGGGATAGGGGTACAACCGACGACGACCCCGACCACGACCACCACAACAATCACAACCACAACCACGACGACGGCAACGGCGACGACAAGGACAAGAACAAGAACAAGAACAACAACAACAACAACAACAACAACTACTACTACTACTAAGTAAACTACTAAGTAAACTACTACGCCTACGTCTACGACGTCTACTAGGTCTACTACGTCTTCTACTACTACTACTACTGCTACTACAAGCGCCGTACTTAAGTCAACCCACGTCGCGTGAAGTCAGCTCACTGCATGGGCACAAGGTTTCAGCGAGAAGTCAATCCACTCGCGTGAACAAAGCACAATGGGCACACTTGAAAAATGAGCGCGGCAGGAGAGTGATATGTTCAAGGAAAAGTGTGCGCACACCTGTGTTATGGCTGGCATTTGGCCTTGCTTTCTAAATGTGGCACAGCACCAATCACACCAATGCGCAACTTAGAGAATAGGTTGCAAGCGCACACACAGGTGACTATAGGCCTCTGCGCGGGCCCCGCGCGACCCCGCGCGAGGTTCACGCGAGCACGACTCCTACAGTCAGTCGTCCTACAGCTTCCTACGGTCAACCAAAACAGAAGCAGCAGGAGCAGCAGCAGCCAACCGGAAGCAGCAGCAGCAGCAGCCAACCGGAAGCAGCAGCAGCAGCAGCCAACCGGCAGCAGCAGCAGTGGAGCATGGGCCCAGGAGCTCTGCATCAAAACTGTCACAAATCCTTGACATTTTCACCCCTGTGGAAGCTGCCCTCCCCCAAAGAACAGATTCATAAATACAAACAGGTGACAATCAGGCACACCATGGGCACAACACAAAACATGTGTTTCTAGATCAATACAATCTATGCTTAGACATCCCTGTGGAGTGCAGTTCTGCAAGGGCACACGGTTTCGAGTCGACTTTACACAAGCTGAGTCGACTTAAGGCTAGGACCTAGTACTAGTAGTAGTACTACATAGTACTAGTAGTAGTAGTAGTACTACTACTACTACTACCACCACCTGCCACTGCCACTGCCACTGCCACTACCACACTTACTACTACTTATGCTTACTACTACCACCGCCACAACCACGACAGGTGCCAACGGAAGGGATGATTGTCTATGCGGATCGACCTGAAAAAGTCAACAACAAATAGCAAACAAAATGAATGTGGTTCCAAGGCGCTTAATTCGTCTCCCTAAACTGGTTTCAAAAGCATGGCTGGTTCCAACAAGTGTTCATGGTCAAGATTGTCAAGTTGGTTGGAGCAGTCAACTTTGCAAATGAGTTGCGATCGTTGTTTCTGAAGCTCTTCATCGAAGACTGCTGCACCTCAGCTTGCTGGGCCAAAGCTTCGGGCATAGCAGTCTTAGAATTAAATTCGGCCGACAAACAAGCATATATAATACAATCATGAAGAACGAATGTTCGGTGCGAACTCTGCCGTACTTCCGAGCTTGCTACGACGTGAAGCCTCTTCCAACAAGGCCAGCTGTTCATCACGGCTCACCTACACCAAAGCAAACACATCCACGCGAGGGTGTAGGCTTAGTGACTTAGTTGAATTTTGTTGTACATTTGTGTGCTCTCCTGCGCTCCGAAAGGGAAATCAAAAGGTACGGGCCCCTTGAATAAGGCCCCCTTCTTATTGTCCTTTTGTTTACGATTTTGTGTTGGGGGTGTAACCGTGACGTGCCTTTATACAGTGAGATGACCCTTGATTGTGCCGCTTAAAATAGTCTTCCAAGGCCCCACTGTCCACAGTCCATGTTGTCACATGAAGTGTAAGTCCAACGCAGAGAGCTGATAAAGTCAGGTCTGGTCAACTATCATGTCCATTCAACCATTCTATCGCAGTTGTGGTGCAGCCCCACCTCCCCAAGCTTGGCGGTTGATGCCCAGCCACTGGCTTTCTCTTTTGCATCTTGGAAATCCTGGGCGCATGTGCTGCATCCCATCAGCCCCATCAGCCAGTCGATGTCCGACAAAATGGAGAAGGCCACTGTGTCACTGGCCTGGTTACACACTTCTGCCATCTCCTCCTTCATAGCCTCCCACCCCTGCGCAGGTCAAAATGGCAGAACCTGGTTTCATACAGGAAATCAACTGTCAAAACCTGCTTGCCCGATTCCGACCACTATCCGAGACAATGCCTTTTGCCACATGCCCCAAATTGCATAACATTGTAATGTCCCTGAACATCTGTGAGTCTGGTGAATCATTGGTGAAAGCGTGCACCATGCCTGAAGGAGCTCTTTCCATTCCTCTGAGTCCGCTCCATTAGCAGCACACCTGATTGCCACAACAATGCGACACACTTTATCTGGTTGATAAATCTGGAAATGGGTGCGCGGTGTGCGATGCAGCCTTGCCCGAGAAAATCCCCTGCCCCCGCAACACAGCCTGGATGCTTCTCACCTGGAAGACCTTGAAAAAAAACACCTCAAAGCTGAAGCTCGATACCGTTGATACCTCACTGAGCGCAACTCTGACGACACTCTTCCATAGCCGCATCCCTGTCGCGCTCCATTGCCTGAAGAAGCACACATTCAGAATAAATATCCGCACAACTCAACTGTACAATCAACTGAGAAGACAAGTGCAGCGTTTGCCCTGGGTGCCCCCTCTTCTGCAGCGGCTTGATCTTCTAGAAGTCGACCAAGCTCGACAGGTGCAGACTTGGCCTCCAGTGTGCCGGCTTTGGTTTTTCAGTCGTCGTTTGCTTCTTCCCAGCTGGGCAGTCACTGCTACAATTAGTCTGTGAGCTCAGATTGCACTCATACAAACTAAGTGTCACTTTCATTCAACGTTGGAAAGAACATTAATAAACATGAAGTCACGCAACTCTTCCACAGCCTTGCTTCGCTTCTGAAGCTTCTGCCGCTGTTTCTGCAGCTCCTAGCACTCCGCTCGGTCCAGGCACTATGAGGCAAACAACTCGTGTTCTTTTTGTGTGGGGCCGGGTCGATTCAAACCCAGCCACCTTGGTTCTCATTGGATGGCAACCACCTACGTTCAGTTCAATCAAGGCAAGGAGGACTTATGTCCCTTCAGCCTGAAGGAGTGTAGTACACACCTCATGCACCAGTCCCCTGAAGGATGCGTATGTCTAGTTCTGATGTCGTGTGTTTGTGTAAATGTTTTTGTGTAAGAAAAAAAATATATATATATATAAAAATATAGTTATATATATATATATACTATCTTTTTCAATGCATAACTCGTCCATCATCTCTCTCTATCTCTCTTGCAGGCATGACTCAATGCTGAGCGGTCTCACCGAGACACCGTCACCCAAGCTCAGCAATTCATTGCAGAAGGCACTCGCTCCTCTTGGAAAGCTGCCTGTCGACGGGCAGCCTCCGCCAAAGCAGCTTTCCGTTCATCGTCTGAATTGAGCACCTGCAGCAGGTTGGTTCATCTTAGATATATATATATATATTTATATTCTTTTAAAATACATAACACATAAAGAAATATATAGCATTTGTTATTTGTATTTCTTTGTTACAGTAACTCTTCAAACAATCGAAACATTCGGCCATTTCTGAAACACAAATGGCCGATTAAACCGGGCCGGGTCCTCTGCAAACTTGTTGTAGTGCTCTTCTTCGTATCAAGTGGTTTGAAGAATGCTAAGGAACATGAGATTGCAGCGTGGTCGCAATCATGTAAACTTCATTGCTTACAAATGTTTACAGTGTCTTACACCCTTGCATGGCCCATACTCCACAGCAAAAACCAATGTAATTTCCGAGCAGCTTGCGTGGCTTGTTCTCACTCCGTGCACGAGCTCAAGGCAATGTAAATAGAATATATACAATTCATTATATACAATTATAATTCTCACAGCTGGTTCACGTGACTGTCTCCAACGGCCTTGGTGGTTTTGGCGGTCTCTGCCAGGGCGGCCTGGGCTTCCTACGGGTGCTGGGCCCATCGCGGATGGGGCGTGGGTGTTTGAAAATACTTCGGCCACGTATCTATTGAGACAGTCCTGGGCGGCAGCTTGTGAATCGGAGAGGAACTGCTTCCAGGTGTCCTCCAACAAGCCACAGGCCTCACAGGGATAGAGCGCCTGGTCTGTGACTAATCAGTGATGATGGTGGGTCGACTTTCGCCAAGCAGCATTTCCCCATTCGTTGCCATCTTTGAGGCCATGCAAGGCTTTCAAGGAGCTCAGCTCTTCTTCTGCCTCTCGACAGGTCCATAAGATCATGAAACTGTGGAATAATCTCTGTTTATCTTAGCATACTTTTGGAGCCCAACAACATGATTGTCTGGTTCTTGCTTAGTCAAAAGCTCTAAAGCGAGAATTATTCTGGCAAATGTTGGTTGTCAAAAGGATCGATGCCCTTATCCTATCACTTCACAATCAGAGCTCACCTGCTTCTGCAATCCTGCCAGATCATCCGTCTGGTTCATCAAGTCCGCAGCATCCAGCAAAGACCTGAACTTGCTGCAGTTCTACGGTGACTGATGTTAGTGTTGGATACAAACACCATCGCTAGCACTGGTGGAACAATGCTGATGTGTCAATGAAGTTCCGCAGCCTTTGAGCTTCAACAACAAGTCACGGTTTGCCATCCTTCTTTTGCCGCTTTTGAAGCTTCTGCCTCACAGGTAAGGGCTGGGTGAGAGATCCAAGTCAAACATGAACATCCTCAACAACATAACACCGACGATTGAGCTAGTGACAGCTAGTGACTAGTGCAGCTGGTTGTCTCAAACGGCGTTGACCTTAATTTGTACACTCCTTTTGTGCAGCACAGCTCCCCTACCCGCCCACGCTGCACACCTCTGCTTGTCCAACTCCTCCTGAAAGGCGCTTGCGCGTCTGGCAGCTTCTGCTAACATCGCCTCTGCGCCATCAGCATCCCCGACGAACTTGGCACGTGCGAGGAGCCCGCCCATGGGGTCGGAAGACGACTTCTCCTGAGCATGGAAACTGGTGCCGGAGGCCCTCAGACGATGAGACCCTCAAAGACCCCTTTTAAGCATGGCAGTCAGATTGAGGATTGTTAAAGGAATGCCATATCATCGTCGTCTAAGCGAAGTTCTTGCCTGTCCTTACAAACTGCTGTCCCCCATGATTTAGGGCGTCCCATGGGCGACAGAGTGCTCTCCTACCACATCTTTTCACCCCTAGAAGTTGTCCCATCCTTGACGGCATCCTCGATGGATGCAGCCCGCTGCACTGCTGCCTCCATGCTCCTGGTAAGTGGGAATTTCACAGTTCTCTGAGTAGAATTGGTTTTAAGATTCGTGGTGCTTTAAGGATATCTACAGTATAACTTGATGAGATTCGCAAATACGGATCCATCAATGCTTCACTATGTTTCGCTCAGATATCCTAACAGATCTAACAGTGTCCACCATCCAAAACTTTGGAGATCTCTCTGGTCCTGGCCAGGTTGATCCTCTCTTGTTGTCGACCATGCCATGTTTCAGCCTCCTGCCGCAACTCAAGAGGCAACTGCCGGGCCGCACCACTTGAGAGGAATCGGTTGACTTCGTCCAGCCAGGCCTGTTTCCTTATCACATCCAGCGAGGGAAATGTGTGGAATCTGCAAAGCACCCAGTGATGGAAGGATCAGGTCTTCGATTGCCCACAGATTTTCAGACACAAACAAACCCAAAAGCATGGCGTTGAAAACAATAAATAATGTGTTGCAATATCCGACATGAAAATCGACCGGAAAAGCTCGGACAACCTATATACAGTATATATATATAACCAAGGATCTCCTCCAAGGACAACTCCGGAGCTGTCGCCTTCTCCATGGATTCCACCAACATCTTCACCGCCTGCTGCCGGGAAACCCGGCTTTGAACCGGAGTGCCCACCGCAATCTCGTTCAACGCGCTCTTCTTGCTTTTCTGGGTCAGGGTTCCAACCACTGGCGTTCCTTCCACCACATCATTTGCGTGAGGTGATCCACTCGCCACCCGACGAGCAACAGCTTCCATCGGGAGGAGAAGGCTAGGTTCCGGTGCTACTTTGCTGGTGGGCGCACTGTTACCTTGGTCGCTGACGCCAGGAGCCAGGCAAAAGCCAAGCTTTTGTCGGTGAGATGGACCAACACATGAAAGACATTGAAAACCTACCAGTATATAAGAGAGGACCGGGTGGATGTTCAGAACAGGCACAAAGGCAACGCATCCGGAGGTGAAGGGGCGCATGTTTTGTTGTTTGATTTGTTCTTCCTCTCCAGCACGTCAAGCAAGCACAAACTACGCACACAACAAGGGGCCAGCAGCCAGAAACTGCAAGAGGTAATGCACTAAGTATATTATATATATATATATGTGTGTGTGTTAAATATGCATTTTTAAAAAAAGTATATTACCTTCACATCTCCTTGCAGAAAGGACATTGGGGGAACCATGTCGAAGAACCATGCCGAACCATTTCCGTAGAGCTTAGGAGGGAGGGCTATCATTCGCTCTTGCTAATGCTCCCATTAACACACTGGTCACCTGGTCCTGTGTCTATAAATGCAGGAATTAAGGACCTGGAATCAAGACAGTGCACATCAGTGCACACATCAGTCAGGTGATTGGCCGACCCAGACTCCGACCCAGTTTAGTGATGTCAGCCATGGCACACACACACATAAACAATGCTACAAACATCTACAAACCATGAAAATCCGGAAGGATCGAATCAATTTCAGCATGAAAACACGACGTGCCAAGTTGCCCATCACTCCAAAGTAGCTACCCTGCCAGTCTCCAGAAAGAGATCTCTTGAGATCTTCCTGCTCCTTGTCAGCTTTACGGCAACAAAAGCAGAACCTACTTCTGCATCGCTTGTCGTAGAAAAGAGATGTGAGAGCGGAGCCCGCCATAGCTGCCGCAATTACAGCCAAAAGGAGGAAAATGCCTGGGAAACTTCCCTGCTCCAATTCGTTGAGACATGCGAACTGGGCATCAGCACTGCCTCCATAGGCGTCGGTGGTTGCCACCGTACCGTTGCTGCTGTTGTCCTCACTCTCAGTCGAAGTCATAGGTTCTGTTGTAGTGGTGGTCATCTCAGCGGTGGTAGCTATACGTACAGTGGTGGCTGCACCCATGGATACCGTAGATGTGGCCATCGCAGTCGTTGTCAACTGGGTGGTACTGGTGTCTACAGTAGTTGCTGCTGGTGCTGTGGTAGGTATTTCACTCGTGCTGGTCGTGGCCATCTCCGTTGTGCTGGTGGTCGTGGTACTAGGCATCTCTGTGCTGGTGGCTTCAGTTGTGGCAATCTTGGTAGTGCTGGTCACCTCTGTTGTGTCAGCACTGGAGGAAGTTTCAGGCAGAGTAGTGGTGACATCGTCAACGGCGGTCGTGGATGCTGCCAAAAACCTTGTCGTGCTTGTGGACACCGTGGAGACGGTAGAGGATACGGTGGAGGACACCGTAGAGCCTGAAGTTGTCACGGTCACTGTGGTGGATGTAGCGTTTGTTTGGTTTGTTTCGTTGACTTCAGGCGGGTCAGGCACTGTAATGTTGATCTCAGTCAAGTTGGTTCCTGCGGCGAAGGAGGTGTAAAGCTTACCCAACTCCGTCAGAGTCCCATTTGGGAAAACAAGGCCTGCATCACCATTTAGACCATCGACGATGGGGTGTGCCCACTCGTCCTGGAAGTAGCTGAACCAGGCATACTTTTCAACATCTTCGTCTGCTTCAAGAAGTGGAATGGCCTCCCTCATGTAAGCCATCTGTCCTTCAGCAGAGAGTCGTTGAGGGTTGTAAGGGTCTGAGCAGGCAATCTCTGTGACCCACATTGGCTTCCCAAAGACCCGGTATCTGTCCAGGTGGTACTTCAAGCCGTTGGCGTAGCAAGCGAAGACATGGAGGCCAATCGCATCCACCTTGCAGCCTTGACAAGCTTCGAAGAACTGACTCAGCCACTCGATGGGATCCATGGAGTCATGGTAATTCATCTGCGGAGACACAAGCGTGGTGATGTTATTCTCTGCAGCGATCTGCTCAAGCTGTGGCCAATAAGCCGCCGCTTCCTAGACCACTTAATTTTGGTTTCTCTCTCTCTCTCTCTTGTGCACACTGGAATGTGATGACGGCACAAGGTACAAGATGTGAGTGAGTAATGAGATGCAAACAGCATGCCTCTACTTTGGCAAACACGTCTGCATGGTCATTCCCTTTTTTGGACTTGCTAGCAAAGCCGGTTCTCCTGCTACTTGAATGACCCAATTGCCCAATACTGGAGACACCCACCTCCCTGGCCCTCCCTCTCTCCTGTGGAGTCAGGTCTGCCTGATTGGGGAAGTTGGGCTCATTGAAGCCCAGCAAAGCTGTTCGTCCTTCCTGAAGGCCATCTTCTTGGATCTCGGAGATCGTCTCATGACCCCAAACCAAGGGGACAAAGTCCACACCCGCCATGTCCCACACATCCAAGCTAGGTCCATTTTGTGTCTGGTATGCCCAGGTCATCCCCCATGTGACCACCTTGGCCAGTCCTGTGAGTGATTCAGCAGTGAGACGGTGATTCTCGATGGCCACACCTCGTTTGCTGGACCGTTCAATTTCACCATCCTCCCGGTACTTCTCCCAAGGCCAGCAATCAGCACACTTGTCATCCTCAAGTGCGGTCTTCACCCGGGCGTCTTGCTCTGAGAAGGCACCACCCTCAGGAGTTTGCAAATGCACAATTCTTTCTCCACATGTGAAGGTCTCACCATAAAACTTCCCCTCCACAAACCACACATCCTCACAAGTGCCAGTGGCGGTGCCGACCAAGGTTGAAAGGATGGCCACTGAGAAAGATGCCTTGAGCAGCTTCTGCCTGTGCAACGCTTGAAGAAGACTGGCGGACATAATAAGGACAGCGAGGCTGGTGCTCGTTGTTCCGGCTTTTAAGGCTTCTTCGGCAAACTGATTTGAACCAAGCAGAATGGTATAGAAGCATGTTGCATAATTTTGCAGCAATCACCCAAAGACTAGAGTGATGTCAATATATGGGTTGATAAACGTCGCAGGCCCATGATGAGGGCAAGACAAACGATACTTGGGGCAGTCAGGTCCCACTCCCGGCTTCTGATCAGTCCGTTCCCACGCTATTTGGAGTCCGCAAATGCCAAATGCCAAAGCAAAAAAACACACACTTTTTCGCGCAAGAACTGCCTGTCCAAGTTAACATGAGGTGAGAGCCAAAAGCTCCAATAGAAGCTCCTTGCTGCCTAGCTTGGTGGAAAATTGAACTGTTCTAGGCGCTCGCAAACCTTCAGCAACCACTCAGGGGTCTTCTCATACTTGGCCCAAAACCTGCCAAACTGGTCTTGTTTTGGGATCCGCTGAAGCTTTCGGAGGGGGAACCAGCCTATTGCATTTTGTGAAGGATTTCAATAGGTCATCCGTGAATGCAAAGGAAACTCATTCCGCTGAGGAGCTTGATAAACCAATGCACGCGGCCGTGATCAATTCGAGGTAGAACATGGCTATCTGGAGGCCGCTTGTCTCGAGCCTCACCAGGGACCATGCAAAGTTTGTCCGCCATATGGCGCAGGGCAAGCATGGTGCGATATCTGGCCCGGTCATGTGTCTGCCGTGCGGGTCGCTTAGGCCACAAACGAAACCAAATCCCAATCCAGCTCAGCCAACACAGTTACATTCAACAAGAAGGACAAGAACAGAGTAACAGAACCATATTGCCTCAGCACTTCCTATTTCCCAAGTGAAGCCAAAGCCCCTCCGCGCCTCGAGCAAATCGCAAATCTTCTCAAGACACTTTTGCCAGTCCATCGCAGTGGATTCATTGTTGCAAAGGTCAACCGCATTGTCCTTGGTGATTCGAGTCCCGTCGAAATCACACATTCCAGCTTTCTCGGTGGGGAAGATATACCACGCCCAGCAGGACTCCTTGGCACCATGGTCTAGCTCACGCAGGATCTTCTTCATGTGCTTCTCTTGGCATTGAATCAAAGCACGGAAAGCCTTCCTTGGTGGCATGCAAGTGCATGCTTGAATCGGTATCATGGTGTGAACAGGCTGAAGGTTTGAGCATTTTGAGCAGTGCAACTGCCCCAGCACATTGCCATGTGAGTCAAGGCTTATATAACATATATATATATATATAACGTTGTAACTACACGTCCAACTACACTCTCCTCGTGGGTTTCCTCATCTTTCTGAACTTCACCCAGCGTCTGGTCTTCCCTGCTCCGCCGGTCAAAGCGATCGCTCTCCTCGCTCCGCGGCCGAGATCCGGGGCTGGTCCTTGGAACAGGGCTTGAAGGCTCGTCGTCTTCCATCTCCTCTGCCGGTGTCACTTCCTCCGTGTCGAACTTCTCGTCTGGAAGCCCCATGGTTGAAGGCTGCGACACGAGATCACAGAATGGGATGCTTCAAACTTTGCTTAAAGAAAGTCCTGGAAGAAGTCTATATGAATACTAGGGTGGAGGCCATCGCCATTACCTTCTCTGGCATCTTTGCAGTGTCACAAACCAACTCCGTGATCTGCTTTGGCGTTACCTGTCGAGTTCCCGGATCCGGCTTGAGCGGAAAGGAGGAGAATGAGAAGCATTCAAAAAAGTTCCTGCAAATTTGCATGCCTTCCCAAGGCACATCTTTGCGTTCGTCGACAACCCTTTCACGACCCTTTCAACAGAAAGCACCTACATACACTTTACACACATATTCCATCATGTTCACCTCCCGGGTCTCAATCAACCAAAATTAAAAGAATGGCTATTTAATCTGCTATCTCAGCCTGAGCTTCATCAAATGCCCAAAATGTGCCACTTGACTGTCAAGACTTGACTCAATTCCAAGCAGGTGTCGGTATGGCGTTTGTTTTCTGTTATGTAATAGCCGCGGGCCGCTAGCCATTGATATTGCAGCACGGTCCACGGCATGAACTCCGGCGGTTCCAAGAATGATTCCAACCCCGGGCATCAAGTACTTGATCAGGTGCAACTAGGTTCTCCACAATCGACTGCCAGGCATTCTTGAAAGATTGGCTATTGCCAATCATTTCTACTTGGAATGGTTTGATGTTCATTGGCACCAATTCATGTTATACATGGGTTAGATCATAGCAGTTGAGGGGATGTGCATGCTTAAAATTGCTCGTAGATTCTCACCTAGGCAACCACAGCAAGCAAATCAGGCAGCTAGCCTGAAAAACAACTTCTAAGAACTCCTTGATGGAACGCGTTTTGCCTGCGAGTCGGCAATTACAAGTACACGTTGAACTGTGTCGAATTTGCGATGATCTGTGCTCAAATCCGAAAATGCACAATTCATACACACTCGCTGCAAAGAAAATGGCACGAATCCTCAGCCGAAAAATGAAGCACTCCAGTAATCCCCACACAAGGACTCAGCCATGTAGTCTCCAGCTGGTGTAATGGTTTCAAATGTGGCGGAAATCCACCTCAGCAGCGCTGGCTAGCAGCTTGATCACGGTGGACAAAAACAGCCGCGACAAAGCTGCACCAGCACCGAAAGCAAGATCCTTCTGAGCACACCCTCAGCGGTGAGTCTTACAAAAGCAACGATTTTGAAAAACCAAATATGGTTTCTCACCAAAATAACCTATAATGTTGACCCTTGATTTATAAACTCCCCCCCCTCCCCCCCCTCAACAACCAAGGCCTCCAATATAATATATAAGAAAATCAATCAATTGATAATTAAATAAGGAATCCTTAGCTAGCTACCTCTGGAGCTACTCTGGCAATATTAAAATAAAAGGAATTAAGAAACCTAACTTTGAAGACATCTGGAATATTAATTAGAATAAAAGGGAATGAATCAATGAAAATAGAACTAACTGTTTAAATTTCAATGGAAATCTCAATCCAAAGACCTGCAATTTCAATGGTAAGTAAAGCAAATCAAAAGGCAAAGAAAAGGAATAAAGATTTAAAGCCTCAAATCTCTAGACATTATTCTAGGGCCCCCCTAAATAATGTCAGAAAGCTGCTTGCTGGACTACCCCCTTTGCTTGAATGATTTTTTTTGTTTTTCAATACTTTTGAATAAGGGATTTTATAAAGAAAGTGCGCACGGACTTTTGGAAACTTTTGGAAAGCTTCAACACTAAAGAGCTTAGGAAAAGTTAATAAGGAATAGAGGGTGAGTAAAGCAAATCAAAAGGGAAAAAGAAAACTATAACAATAAAAAATATCCCACTACAACTACCCCTCCCCCCAAAAAAAAAACATTATTCTGGGGCCTATATAAATCTGTGCAGGAAAAAAAGTGACATTATTCTAGGGTCGTTTATAAATCAAAGGTCAACATTACAGTAAATGAACAATATATATGACTTATAACAACTGAAGACTCCTCTCCTCTCACATGCTGAGCAGTGCTTCTGTTGGATCCTGCTTTCCTTTGCAAGGGGCACCCAAGTGCCGATTGAGCTGCCGACAGCTCGACCAACACACCTTTCAGTGTGTGGCGTGACCCAGTAGACACCACGGTGCGCGCACTCGTGGCAGAACCTCTGGCCTCTACGGGTTGAAAATGGCACCGCAGGCCGCTTTGAGCGACCGTGGTGCGGAACAAAGGAATTAGACTTTAGACATGTTTAGACTCAAGGGAGGTACTTGTTGCACATGTCCTTTTCCATGCTCACGTGTTTGATGCTGTGTACTTCTGTGTAGATATACAATGATATACAAATACTGTAAAGAACTATCATCTATAATCTGCGGAAATAGCCACGAGAATACGCTGGTATAAAAGGACTCAATATTGCATCATGATGATGCATCCTTCAGCTGCAGCAGCCTTTGATTAAAATCGGCTACATGTGCCGGGGAGGCGTGTCCGCAGTTGTCAGTCATCGAGAATCCTGACCTGACCATGGGCCCCGCATGCAGGTGACCGGTGACGATCCAAAGGGCTCCCAACTTGTTGGAATCAAAAAAGCAAAAAAATACACCTATGGTTTGTTGCTCACCCTCTGCGCTGCTGTGGAGCTCACCGCAACCCCAATGCCCCTCTACCTGTCATGATGCAGGCATTTTCATACACCAAAGACCAAAGTTACAAAGTTCAGAGCCCCCACGGTGTCAACTGGCCAAACATAAAAATGGAACATACCATACACGAAGTCTATTTATAGTGGTAGTGAAGCAATGTCTGTGAAACACATGACTTGGTTATACAATGTTATATATATATAATCCCCGTGTGAAATTCCCCGGGTGGGGTTGGATTTGTCATTTCTATATAGTAGGAAATTGCTTTGGGGTCTAGAAAATGCAGTGGCTGCACTTTAGATCTACAAAATGATGTGGCTGCACTTCTGCAAGAAGGTCATAATTTACTAGAAAATGATTTGCCAAGTATGTGCAAAGCGCAGGTCCCACTAGAAAACGGTTGGGCCAAAGGCCAACGTCTATCTGGCACTGTTTTACCGCTTTACGGCTACGTCGTCGAATTCGGGTCGGATTGGCTGGAATTGGAGTTCTTGCTTCTGCAGGTGCGCTCCAGATGACGTCCAGCAATTCTGAGGGTCTGAATGCCGGACCAGTTTTGGGTGCCTGGTGAAAATTTGAGATCAAATTGCATTGTTTAGAATGGAACCGTAAAACAAGTTCAATTATTCTGTGCGCCCTTTGTAGAGCATGGTGCCCAACCATGCCCAAGTCAAGGTGAACTGAGCGTAGAGTTTGTATGATTTTGTAGAGCCTTGACCTTAGGGATGTGAATAAAATCTATGCATTTTCTAGACCTCTATCCAGAGCATGGCGTCCGACCGTGCCCAGGCAAATCAGGAGAAGGTTGGCAGGGGTGGTGTTGCACGGGGGTAAGCGTGTGAGCGTAAGGGCACAGGACCTAACCTAAAGCTTCTAGAGCATGCAACCCAGAGATGATTTGGCAATGTTTACAAGAGTTTAGTAGCTTGTCAACGTTTCTCATGTTCTAGAGGGTTCCCATGCAGCATGTTCAGTCATGTTCTAGATTCCATACATGTTTGGACTAAGATCGCCCGCAACCCGTGCACAGGTCTATGTGGACCAGACATTGAAGCAGTCAAGCCGGAGACGATTGTTGAAAAAGGTTGGCATCAGGTTCTAGGACAAGATCCTAAGAGCCTCCAGCGAACAAGGTTTGCTCACATTGTCTTAGTTGGGGTCAAGCATGAGGAGCCTATATTTTGAAGAGCATCCACACTGTTCCCCCAATAGGCATGTTCTAGGCCCTTACCCTTCTAGACCACAACAGGATTGCGTCCAACTGCGCCCAGGCCAACCCAAAGGAGAGGAAGCAAACGTGTCGGAGAAGAGTGCTGGAGAAGGTTGGCAGGGTAAGGAGGGAAGCGGGTGAAGTGTGTGAGTGTAAGGGCACCGAGAGCCCGAGAGCAGTTGCTCTATAGTTCTTGAATGTTTTTGACGTTATGCATCTCAGGACATCTCAGGACGGACCCAAATCTACTACAAAAGGCATCGGCCAAAGGCACCACGACCAAGCACAAAATGAATCAACATTACTAGAAAATGCATATCCACGTCAAATCCTGACACGTCCTTAATAGTTGTTTTACTAGAAAATGACCCTCCCAAAAAATGTTTCATTAGAGAATGCTCTTTTCTAATGGCCTTGAGGCCCATCATTCTCTAGTGGAAATTCCTTCCGGGATTATACATATATATATATATATGTGTGTGTAATTCGTTCATCTTCCTTTCCTTCTTCTGCTCTGGTCCAGCTGAGGTGCCTCAACAGAATGAGCGTGGGGATGACTTCATCGACTCGGCCTCCTGGCAACGGGACAATGGTCTCTCTCCGAACCTGTCCTGCTCATCGAGAGCTGGAAAGTTATATAAAGTGAAAAGCTGGAGCAAACCTTCTCATGGAACCTTTTATAACCATGTGCAAACCTACCAGTCACCGAGAGCAGGACCATACAGAACCCTGGCTTATCGCTGCATCACCCAAAGAAGTCGAGCATGACGGAGAGTGTGGGCTTTCGCTAATACAGCTTGAAACCGGAAAACTGCCAGGCATGGTTCAGGATGCTTGGCAGTGCCTGGTGTATCGTTTTCATATTGGTTATTCATGGTTAATCTTATCATTACATGGTCTCTCCTGCTGCGAAGCCAGTAGTAGCCGCCCTGCAGATGGTAAAGGAGGCCCGCGTGGCCTGGCGATGGGTTCTGAATCTCTAAGGCGGCGAAAATGCACCACGAAGGCAAACCTTCAAGGATCTTTAACTCTTGACTCTGATTGGCACTCTGATTGACTCTGATCTTTAACTCGACGTTCCTGCATCACTTGGGTCGCACGAGGCCTGACGATAGGATCCAAGCGCCGAGGCATATGTCCTTCGACGGTCACTGTGTTGCAA